AATCAACCAACCTCTCTCCCACTCGCTCCGTTTCCTTCCGGTTAAACCGCTTTCCTGCCAAGGCCAGGCCGACCTCTGGACAACCAGAGCCAATGGTCTCAGGGGTCTGCGCCAACGCACTTTCTTCTGCGCCCCGCCCCGCCCCATTCACTCGATGACCTCGAGTGCGCTCATAGGTAACGACGGGCTTGTGTTTTTTGTTTCGAGAATCTCTCGACTACAAAACTGTGTGCATCTTTTCTGGGGTTTCCTTGAGTTCCCTGCATTTTTGGAAAGGTATGCGACCCAAATGTCAGGGTCAAACCTCAGGGGGCGTAGAAGGAGGGTCCCAGGTGCCCTATCTTCACCCACGCGCTCCTGGTCGCAGACCTGCCTGGGCCACAGCCTCAGAGCAGACAGAATGGAAATAAGTGGGGCTCCACCAGGGGGCGCTGTTCCCAGCCTCCCCACTGGCTCATCTCAGGCCCCTTCACGAGCATGGGTGCTCGCAGAGTGCACCGCTATTAAAACCAAACTCACTGCCACGGAGTCATTTCCGACCCACAGCGAGCCTATACGACAGAGTAGAACTGCTCAGAGCATTTTCAGAGTTGTAAATCTTTCCAGAAGCACACTGCCTCATCTTTCTCCGGCGAGCAGCATCGCTATTAGACTGGCTCTATTGAATGGACACGCCTCCCCACCCGTTTCAAATCCCTTCTATTGGCCTCTTTTACTGCCAGCAAACCAATAGCCCAAACCCGTTGCCACGGAGTCAGTTCTGACTGACAGCGGCTCCATGTGTTACAGAGTAGGACTGAGCTCCACAGGGTTTCTTTCACAGAAGCAGATGGCCAGGCCTTCCTTCCGCGGTGCTGCCGAGTGAGCTCAACCCCCAACTTTAGGTTAGTAGTTGAATGCCAACCATCTGCCCCATCCAGGGACCTCCACTGTCCAGCAGGGGCCCCAAATCCTCTTGGCTCTCAGATCTTGCTACTCTCGCCCAATCAATACCCTCATCCTCCAGCATCCTAGCCTGCTTTCTTGCCCTTGTCTCTGATGTGCTCTCACTTCCCTTCCCTGAGTTATTCCCCTTCATCTTCATTGTCAACTCAAACTATACTTCCTTCTCCAGGAAGCCTTCCTTGACTTCCTCAGATGGCTGGCACCCTCTGGGCTCCCACAGCCTCCTGTGCTGTGGAGCATTTGTCTGGCTGTGGGTTTGTGCCTCTAGAGAGAGGGCTCCTTTCTGTTTTATTAATGGCTATGAGACTCACACCTCATTTTAGCCTTGTAAAGGCTCTGCACCTAGGAGCCCAGGGCTGGGAGGGTTCTCACTTGCTGGAATGGGAACTGGCATCCCACTCGCACACCGGCTGGTTCTGATTCCCAGGAGCTGGAGACAACCCCTGGTCTCCTTCGGCTGCAGGCCGTGCCAGGACAGTTCCTGGGACGCAGGCAGGACACAAAGGCTGCACTGACAGCTCCTTTTAAGTCGCCAAAATAATTCTGGTGACAGTGAAGTCACAGCAGCCATCACGTGTCCAATGCCATCAGCTTTACCTGCTACCACCATCTCTGTGATCCGCTCTGCAAAGCAGCAGAAACGTTGCTGCCCTTTTGGGATGCGGGAGGCAGTGTCTGGGCCCAGGCCTCCCAGCTAGTATATCTTTGAGCCAATATTCAAAGTGGGGCCCAAGTTCTCAGCCTCCACAAGGGGTTAAGATGTGCTTCGGGGCCCAGCAGCGCTCTTCTGTGCCGACAGGTGTCAGGGAAGGGTTCGGGCAGGCAATAGGGTGGGGTGGGGCCTGAGGCACAGATCTGAGAATGACACCCAAGGAAGGCTGGTCCAGCACAGCTCCTAGGGGCTCCCTCAGAAAGACAGCAAGGTGGCTATGGGCTAGCAGGCAGGAGGGAGGAGTTTATTTTTCTGGGAAGGTCAGGGTGGGCGGGAGAAGGTCAGGGCAGGGGAATGTCCTCCAGCTTCTGATCCAGCGTCTTGAGGTCGTCCAAGAAGCGGGTGGGGGTGAGGATGTGTGAGGAGCCTGGGTAGGAAGACAGGCTGGGGAGGTGGGGTTGCTGCCTCGGGCCCTGACATTCACCAGGGTCCCAGCCCTGGGACCTCACCCTAAGGACCTGTGAATCTAGAACTCTAGCAATGTAGGGGTCTAGCCTCCAGTGACCCCTTCCCTGGGAACCCTAACCCCACCCCGAGAGCCCCAAGAGTCCAGCCCCCAGCCCCCTCTCTCAAGGATTCAGGAGTCCACCCTTCTCCCTCACAGAGTGATCCAGCCCCCAGGGACTCCAGCTTCCAGCCCTTTGGGGACCCAGGAGTCAGGTGTCAGCTCCCACCCTTCTAATAACCCTAGGAGTCCAACCTGGCCTCCCAAGGATCCGGGAGTGGGGGAGTCCAGTACTCCTCCAGGGGCCCCAGGTCCCAGCCCCAGGAATCCTGCCCTGCCCCAGGAACGCCACACTCACCGCCACCACCTCCCCAGCCCAAGTTTCTCACCTATGAGCACCTCCCATTTGCCTTCAGTGGCTCTGGTCACCTCATAGGCGGCTCTCATCTCAGACATGGCCACACCGCCCATGACATACACAATGAGCCGGGGCCCCGCCCGCGCCTCCACACCCGCCTTGTTCTTGTGCCAGTGGCCAAAGCGGGCACTGTGTGTGAAGGGGCAGAAGTCAGTCCAGGCAGGAGAGCCCCCAAACCATGCCATCATCCAATGGCCTGGGCACTACTGGGGGTGGAGGTCAGCCCCCCACCCACCGTCCCCTGGCCCTCACCTGACGGCAGCCTGGGAGCTGGGTATAGGGGCAGGGTCAGACACAAAAGGCCACAGCCTCCGGTCCAGCCGGTCCTCCACGGCATCCTGGCGGCCCAAGAGGAAGGTTTGCAGAAAAGCCCCAGGCAGGGAAGGCAGACTCTAGGGCGTGTTCCAGGGCTAAAACCCCACAGACAAGAGGCACCGCCTAGGTCAAATTCCAGCCCCCTTGGGGTCCCAGAAACCGCGGCCCACAGCCCTTAAGGACCCAGAAATCATCCTGCTCCAACTCCTTAGTGGTCTGGGAGTCTGAGTCCCTGGGACCTCAGGGACCTAGGTGTCTAGGCCTCCAAAGTCCATGGGAACAAGGGGGCCAAAGATCACTGGACCCCCAAGTGGGAGGTGCCAGGACTGCAGGAGGCCAGGCTCCTATGGGCTCCCCAGGTGGGCAGGCGGGGCTTCTAGGAGGCAGGAGAAGAGAAATGGCAAGTTCAGGAAGGTGGGGGCCTCAGCAGGACAGAGGTCGGGGAATGTTGGTAACAAGGCATTTTCTAGTAAGTCTCACAGCTCAGCAGGAGAGGAGGAGAGCGACCAATCAGACGCTGCCTGCACCAGGGCAGGACTTGGGGGATGGGGGCGTCAGCTTCCCCCCTCCCATCCTGCGCTCCAGCCAGTGGCAGGTACCTCCATCACATCCTTGATGACTGGAGTCCAGCGGGACAGCTGGTAGGTGGGCTCCAGGCGCTCCCTGCGCTCCGGCCGGCTCGAGGGGCCCGACCCCTAGGGGGTTGGGGGTGGGAGCACGGGGAGGTGAGGGGGCAGTGGGGGGAGAATGAAGCGGGTCACAGATGGAGCAGAGGCCTCATGTGTTTGGAAGGGGATGCAGACAGAGGTGGAGAAAGGAAACAGTGAAAGAGTGAGAAACCGAGACAGAAATACAGAAGCAGTGAGAGAAAGAGAGAGAGACAGAGGAGGGGGAACAGAGGGGGTTCAGATGGGAACAGAGAGAGAGAGAAGGGGAACAAAGGGAAAGACGGGATCAGAGAGAAACAGAGACACAGAAACAGGGAACAGAAAGATGAGGGGGCAGGAGGGTAGACAGAGGACGGGGGAGAGGGGACAGAGAGACTGCAGGGGACAGGGACCTGAAATGTGTGGATGAGTGGTGGAGGTGGAGTACAGAAAGGTGTCCGTGTGGGGCCGGAGAGAGAGGAAGAGGCTAAGCCGAGAGCTGACACAAGAAGGTGTGGTGTGCTTTGTGGCTGGGGCCCTGAGACCTCTGGGAGGCTGGGTCAGTGTGCCCCACCCCCAATGCCAGTGAGCCTACTTTCCATTCCAGCCACACACCCACCCCACACCCCAAGGACCAGGGCTCTGCCCCCGCCCCCAGCCTTAGTGCTCTCTGTCCCTCAGGACCCAGGCTCTGCCTCAGTGCCAGCTGCCAGGACCCCCTGCCCCCTGCACAGCTCACCCCCGGGTTGGTGACGGTGCCCCCCAGCTGCTCCAGGTTCCGGATGAGGCTGCAGTGCGCCTGCACGTTGGCGTGCTGGATTAGCTTGGCCAGGTTCTCCTCACTCACACCTGGAGGGGGACGTGGGGTGACCCAGTAGGTTTCCAGGTTAAGGGGGTGGGGGTGTCCCAAGACCAAGGAAACCCTAGGGTTAGTGCAAGGTGGGGATCCTGGTGTTAGAATTCTGGATTGGGAGCCCTGAGGGCATGGTTTGAAAGATCCTCAAAATTAGTTAGTGAACCTAGTTTGGAAGCCACAGATCTGGGGGGGGTCTCCATGTCAACAAACTCCCTGTCTATGACTGTCTCAGGGTCCAAGGGGTGTCTGTGAGGTTTGGCGTTCCCAGACAACAGGGGTGTCCCGAGCGCAGGGGAGCTGTGGCCGTGGCGGGGAGTAGGGAGCTCTGCAGTCCCCACGCCCTCCCACCCACCATTCCGCAGCAGGATATACAGCAGCAGGACCCGGATCTTGTCGTAGGCCGGCACGGCCGCGTCCAGCAACACCGGCACAATCAGCTTCATGGCGTCCTTGATCTTCTCTCCCTCTGCGTCGGAGCCCATGGCCAGGTCCTGCGGGTTGAGGGCCAGATGTCCCCACAGCCACCACACGGGCAGTGGGACGCGGCTGGGATGCGGCCAGCACAGATAGTCGCAGGGTCCTGGTGAGACCTTCTGAATCATCCCTCCCTGCCCCGCCCCTCCACAAGCCCCGCCCTCACCAAGGCCCCACTTCTCCAAGGCCTGCTTGCCAGGCCCTGCCCCTCCTCCAAGCCCTGCCCCTCTCACCTGCTCTGCTCAGGGTCCCACTCTTCCACAGGCTCCGCCCCTCCCGGGACCCACCCCACTCAACTGGCCCCTCCCACAAGCCCCACCTCACACCAGTCCTGCCTCTCCCCAGGCCCCACCCCCACCTGCTCCACACTACACAGCTTCTCCACCGAACCCTTGAAACGCTTCATGCAGTCATCAGCTAAATTCAGGTGCGTGGAATACTGCGAGGGGAGGGGAGGGCGTTGGGATACAGAGGTTGCACTAAGGCAAAAAGGGGTACAGGGTCATGCCTCCTTTCCCACCCCCCACACACCCTCCTACACATACCTTGTTCAGCTCCTTCTGGTACTGCGGCATTTTCTTCAGAATGTGGGACAAGTCTTTGATGTTGGCCTAGAGCCGCGGGTGGGATTAGGACAGGAGAGGACGTGAAGCCAGGCCCGGACGTTCCCCTGCCCCCGCTGCCTGGTCTGGCCCACCCCTACCTTGTCCGTGGTAAGCCTTTTACTCTCACAGAACGTCTTCAGGAGCTCCGTGACCTTCCTGGCAGGGAGGGTTGGCAGGAGTGAAGTTGGGGGTTGATGCTAAGGTTGCAGCTAGTGGGTTAGCTAGCGTGGAAGGGTCGCAAAGCAGCTGAGGGGGCGGGGCTAGGCTGGGCGAGGGGCAGGGTGGGGCCAGCAAGGGGCGGGGCCAGGCCGGAAGAGGGGCGGGGCATGTTTGAGGGTCCAAGTGCAGACAGAGGTCACCTGACCAAGTGCCAAGCAAGACACAGGGGAAGAAGGCCGCGCTGGGGCACATGTGGGTAGGGACCACGTGCAGAGGGGTCACACCGCCCTGCCTCCACTGCGACGCACTTGGACACATCAGCAATGTGCATGTGCCGTAGCTCCACCCACAGGTCATCGTCCTCATCCAGCAGTACAACCTTCTCCCGCGCCTCGCTCAGCCCTGTGGTCTCATACCTAAGAGCAGGGTAGGGGCGTGGGGAGGGGAGGCAGTCAGTGGCCCCAGCTGAGGGCCAGGGCCCCAGGTCTGTGGTTCCATGGTGATGGAGGCAGTCCAGATCCCCCACGGGCCCACCTGTACGTGTCCTGCTCGATGTCCAGTAGGTCATAGGCCATGGCCTGGAGCGTGAGCTCATGCAGCAGTGGAGACACAGGGTCAGCGGCCCGGTCCACGATCAGGAGCTGTGAGCGGGTCTTCTCAGGGCCCTGAGGGGAGAGGGCAGGTGTGAAGACACTGACTTTGACCCTGGAGGGCCTCGCCCCTCTGTAGCACTCCCCCTCACCTCGCCCAGGCTGGGTGTGTCAGCCTTGAAGGCGTTCAGCTTGGCCAGGATGGCATGGGCCAGCTGCGCTGTGTCCTCTGGGCCCCTAGGGGGAGAGGTGGTCAGACACGGGCAGCAGGGTATGAGTGGGGAGTGCCAGGCACAGAACAGGGGTCAAGGATGGACATCAGGGATGAGATTGAATAGCCAAGCCAGAGACTAGGGTGAGAACTGGGCCTGGGTCAGAAGAGGTGAAAGGCTGGCTGCAGGGTGGGGTCAAGGCCAGGGCCAGCATTGGGGTGGGGTCCTCACTTGCGGTAGCGGATGGCTGGGTACTCCTGCAGCGTGGCACACAGGGTGGCAATCTGCTGGGCCAGTGCCTCGAGCTGCCGCGCCCGCTCCCCCGCCCGGAATGGGCAGTACAGGTTATAGGTGCTGTGGGGGGCATCCAGGGAGAACACCTGGGAGGGCCAGAACCACCAGGTAAGTGCACACCTGCACAATTTCCACCAGCCACCAGCACCTGCCTCTCTCAGGGCTTCCCATGGTCCCTGCAGCCTGCTCTGCCATCTACGAGGTAGGTGGGGAACAGCCCCCACCCCAGGCCTGGAGAAACTGGGGGATCCAAATCAATACCCCAGCTCCCTTCCCTCTAGAGTGAGACAATGAGTGTTCCCCCCTGCTGCATCCTGGGGCTCCCCACTGCTGCATCCTGGGGCTCCCCGGTGGCAGAGAACTCCAATTGCCCACAGGCCAAAGCTCCTTCCCCTTCTCACTCCCTCTGGGCATTCCTTTGCCTTGGCTCTCCGTGGCTCAGTGTCTGTTTCTGAGGGAACCTGTGGACAATTGGTTCCAGACCCCCACATCTGCCCAGGCCTTGCCTGGTCATACCTGGGCCTCATAGGGTAGGAAGGCAAGGTGGATCTCTTTCAATGTCTTCACCGCCTTTGCCAGCCGAGAGCGGCCAAGCTCGCAGAACAGGGGCTCAGGGCAAGCTGAGATGATGAGCAGGAGGCATCAGGCCAGAGCAGCCCCACACCCCCTTACCCTGGTTCCTGTGTCCCAGGTCTTTCCCACTTACTGTCAGTGAAGAAGACATGGGCCGCTTTGTAGGTGAAGGTGGGGGTGCCCAGGAAGTCTGCGATCAGGGCCTGCACCGACTGGGGGATGTGATCACTTTCCAGGCCTGGCCCTACACCCCCAGGCTTGCCCTCCTTCCAGCTGCTGCCCATCCATCCCCCACATATGCACGCATACAAGCATAGAGGTACGCATGTGCACTTGTGCACACATATATATGCACACACACATACATGCATACCCCCACACACAGACATGAACACATGCACATGTGTGACAGCATGTATGTATGTATGCAGATATGCACACATACATGTCCATATGCACATGCATACAGGCACATGTGTGCATTTGTGTGTGCATGCACATAGAGGTATATGCGCGCACATCCATGTACACTCACATGTATGTACACACATGCATGCCCACACAAATACAGGCATACCTGTCCATATGCACACACACACAGAGGCATGTGTGTACATGCACACCTGTGCATGTCCCTGTACGCATACACGCACAGTCACATGCATACACACAGATACACATACACACGTATACACATGTGAATGCACACACACATAGGTATTGTGTACACAAATGTGTACCCCAAGACCCCTGGTGCTCCCATAGGCACCTTCTCCGTGGGGCTCAGCAAGTAGATGGCCTCCAGACTAGGGATGGGTTCTCGCCTCTTGTTGATGTCTTCAACAACTTGAAGGATCAGAGAAAGGGACATGGGTGGGGGGATCAGCACAGGGGGTGCATGGGGAGCTGCAGATTTGGGGAGTTGGACACTTAGGGAGGAGGGTTGGATGCCTGAGGTGCCAGACTCCCTGAGAATCTTAAGCAGAAGTTGGACACCCTGGGTCACACAACCTTGTGGGGGAGGGTCCCCACAGAAGACAGTGCACACTGAGAGTCTCAGACCCACAGGATCCACCCTGGGTGCTGACATGGGGCTCCACACACAGAAGCTGCATGTTTTGGGCTAACCCCTTAGGGGTACAGCCCAAGAGCCCTGTGTGGGCAGTCTGCACACCTCGGGGACCCACCCTCAGGCTGCATGTCTGGGAAGCATGCTTGAGAAGGTTACACACTCAATGCTGTATATCCAGGGAGCCTCATACTTGGGATTTGGGACCATTTCAGGGGGTCCTGCGGGATCCCACATTTGGGAGGCCCACACTCAGGTCCCACCAGAAGGCATGGGGCAGGGCATCCACTCACTGGTGATGCCCTCGGCCAGGATGTCTGACATTTTGCAGCAGGACGACAAGATGCGCATACTGGGGTGGTCCATGATGAGCACCTGTCCAGGTGGACAGACAGATGGACAGACATGGGCAGAAGAGGCCTCAACTGTAGCACCCTCCACCCCCACTGGTGAATCAGGGGTTATGGACAGGGCTGAGAGCTTCAAAGACAAGCTGGGTGGACCGACCTAGGACCCATCCCAAGTGGGTATGTACAAGGGTCCCAAGGCGATCTGCCTCACCCCTACCTTCCACTCCCCATCCTTTTTGACGCTTCGGATAACTCCACTTAGAATTTCTGCATGGAAGGGAGGGGTGAGCTTAGGATGCTGGCCCTCTCCTCCCTCTCACCAAAAGCATTCTCCACCTTGAGGGAGGACCCTCGTCTTAACTCCTGTGGACCCCACTCCCCATCCTATGCAGTAGCTGCCAATTTACAGGCAAGGAAACTGAGGTTCAAAAAAGCTGTGTAATTTACCTAGTACACTCAGTGCCTGGGGCAGAACGCCTGGGGCAGAAGAAGCCAGTTAGATGAGTCTGCTACATCAGGCTCCCATACAGGTCTGGCTGCAAACTTCCCCCAACACACATACACATCTGCTACTTTAACTTCTTCTGCTAGAGGTTTGAGCCTCACTGGGCCCTGCCCAGCGGAAGGGTGAGAAAAGGGACACAGTGGCCAGGCCGACCAACAGGGTGATGTCTACTGTTATCAGAACCGCCAGATAACCACTGGAAGGAAGGAGCAGCTGAGGAGGGAACTACCCAGACTGGGGGAGGGGGTGACTCCACCCCCTCCCCCAAGAACTAGGGCCAGGGAGACCTGGACACCTGAGTCCTTACCCTGAAAGGGGCTCCGAGGGACCAAGGAGAAAGCCGTTTCTCCCCACCACCCAACCCGGGACCTGAACACGCCCCCCAGAATCTCTGAGCACTCACTACTTGATCTTGACCACTGCACCAAGTCGGACCTAATCCGCACCTTGGGGCCCCGAGAGTCCAGCCTGCCCCAAACTTTGCCCAGCTCACAGACCCGGGAGCCTGGGCGTCCAGCTGTGCCCTGCCCGAGCTGGCACCCTAGTGGGCCCAGGCGTCCGGGCCCCAGAGTCTGCTACCGGGTTTGAGAGGTCCACGCCATCCCCAGTCCGCACCCTTGGGTCCCCAAAGTCCAATTTCCAACTCCGTTCCGCTCCAGCCCCGAGAAGTGGGCGGCCACGTAGGACCAAGCCAGCGCCCGCCCCCTCGAAAATCCCGGTGCTCGGGCGTCCAGCCTGGCCCATGATGCCCCACCGCCGGGGTCCCAGGAGCCCGTGCGCCCCTGGCCCTGGTTCCCCAGGAGACCTAGGAGCCCAACCTCAAGGGGGCACTCACTTTCCCTCACCACCGCCTTCAGCCCGGATGGCGCCATCTTCCCCAGGGGCGCCGCCGCCGCTTCCGGGTCTGTCCTAAGGTGGGGGCGGGACCCTCACGTCATCCACGTGGGCCCCGCCCTGATGCTCCGCCCCCGAGCACCTGGCCCCGCCCCGCCCTCGGGAACGCGGGGAGGCTGAAGAAGCTGCCTGGAGAGTGTATCCAAGCCAACGTGCACGCAGTCGCTAGGAAGGCACGCCTCGACGACAACCCTCGCTCCTCGTGACACAGATGTGAGCACGGGCACACGCTTCTCCTGCTTGCGTGCAGCACCAGAAAAGTGGCCTCAAAGGTCAAGTGCCTTAATCTTCCGGGCAAGGTGTCACCCTGTCCTAAATTGCTCTATGCCTGCGGGGCCACGATCCTATCTGGGCATGGAGCCATGACCCACTTCCCTTACTTTCTCGGGGAGCATCTCATAAACTCTGGAGGCCTGACGTGGTACCTTAGTTGCCCAAAGTTTTGAGTCTTGCTGACAATCTAAAGGTGGATGGTTCTTCCAACCCTCTAGCAACACCGTGGAAGGAAGGCCTGATCCGCTCCTGTGATTTGTTGCCACCCTCGAGTGGATTCTGACTCATGGTGACCCCGTGTGTGCAGAGTCCATAGCGGTTTCAAAGCTACGACCTTTCAGAAGCAGATCGCCAGGCCTGTCTTCTGAGGCACGTGTACGTGGATTTGAACTGTCAACCTTTTGGCTAGTAGTCAAGCGTTTCCGTGTGCCACCCAGGGTCTCCACTGAAAATATTGTTGATGAGTGCTGTTCAGATTCCATTTCACATGTGATGAAGTAGAAGTGCCACCTAGGACTTCATTAGCTGTCATCTTTCTGGAAGCAGATCACCAGGTCTTTCTCCTAAAGCACTCCTGCATGGGTATGAACCAGCAACCTTTCCGTTAGCAGCAGAGTGCATAACTGTTCCACCACCCGGCTTCCTTCCATAAAGATCACAGCCAAGAAACTTTATGCAGCAATTCTACTCTGAAACACATGGGGTCGCTGTAAGTCAGACTCGAAGGCAACAGCTATGGTTCCTTCATCTGGCTGATAGTCTCAAGTCTTCCAGGTTGTAAACTTTCACCCAAACTATAATTAAAAACTCTGCCAGGTGTCAGGCTGTCTGCCACTTACTTACACAGGACAGGCATGGACCATATGTCAGGGAAGACTGAGAGGGTCCCTGCCCATGTGACACTTAAAAGTTGAGTGAGGGAGATGGGAGATACACCAGTCAGCCAGCCAGTCAGTCATGAAGGAAGTAAGCAGGGATGAGATAGGGAGTGCCTTGTGGGGGGCTCCTCTGCTGAGGGTGGTCCTGGAAGGCCTCTCTGACAGGGTGGCCTTTAGACTTCAATCTGAGTGATGGCATCTGGGTGCCACTGAGCAGGATCTGGCATCCGGGTGCCACTGTGCAGGGTCCAAGGAGAGAAAAGGAATGGGCTTGGAGGTGTCCAGGCAGGCTGGGGTGAGGTTGGCATGGAACGGGGCATGGGTGGGAGGTGAGGTCGGAGGGAGGGGTTGCAGGAGCCAGACATATCTGCAGGACAAGGTAGGTAAGTTTGCCTAGGCCTGGGGGGTTTCCTGGGATGCAGGGCTTTCAATGAGAAAACTGGGGCAGTTTGGGATAAACTTGCACGGTTGGTCACCCCAAGTAGCCACTTGGGTTTGTTTTCTTTTTAAACAGCTTCACTGCAATGTAATTCACAACCATAAACTCACCCAGTTAAAAGGTATGATTCAGAGGTTGATGGGGGTGGGTCTGAGATCACAGTCAATTTTAGAACATTTCGGTTACCTGAGATGTCTGGGTTTTATCCTGAGAACCACGGGGGCTAAGGGTGAGTTCTGAGCAGGGGAGGAGGACCCTCGCAGGGGGGAGATAGGTTCAGGGCAAAAGGGGGAGCTGAAAGACAGCGGGGATGCCAGGACCCCTCCAGGTCTCAGGCTGACCCCTGGGGGGAGTCTGCACTTGATGAGGGAGACCGAGGTCTTTGGCTTGTCATCAGGACTTGGGACTCTGGAAAGGCTGTCACGAGGGCCCTGGGTGGGGGCGGGGCACCTGGGGGAAGGGCCGTACAGGGGCAGGTGTAAGGCAACTAGTTTATTCTGAAAAGAAACCCTAGCCAATTTCAGGAAGGGCACCTTGGAGAGAGGAAGGGACAGGGGTGGATGGGGTCCTCCCCAGCGGCACCCTCTCCTAGGGCGAGCCATCCACTGCTCAGTGGAGGGACAGGGACTTCTTCAGCCCCCAGTGGGGCAGGGAGAATGGATTAGAAAAGACAACTCAGCCACATTTGAGTGGCCAGGGGACAGGAGACCTCCAACCTCACTGCGTCAGCCTCACCCCTGGGTTAGTGTCAGGCCAATCACTGGACCTTAAGCTGGGCACCCGGGCAGCAATTAGACAGAAAGACAGCCAGGAGACCCCTTGGAATCGCTGCCAAGGGGCTGGAGCTGGGTTGGCTGGCGATGCCTCAGGCGGGTGCAGGGAGGAGGAACGGGGTCCTCAGGTCCAAGTCCAGCTGCCCTTAGCCTACCCCTGCAGGCGGCAATTGCTCTTCCAACAGAGGCAGCTAGAAGTGCCAGTGGAGATGGGGAGTATCTTGGGGCTCAGGTGGACTGTCCTTACTGCTTCCTACAACGGGTTGCAGGCCCTGCCCCAGCTGGCCACACCCTGCCTATTTCCCTGTCCATTCCCAATGGGCCCACATGGCCCCACTCTCCACACTTTGGTGGGCCTGCTACACGGGAGAGTCCTTGGGGCCCAGCAAGGTCCAAACCCAGGTCACCATAGCCCCTCCCCAGATCCAGCAACGTTCTGCAGAAACAATTATCTGGATCATGTTTATGGGGCTTAAGCTTGGGTGGGAGCAGATGGGGCGTGCGCTGGGGATTTGGAACTGGGAGGGGATCCACTTCCCCACCTCCCAGCCTTTTTTAAAAAGCCTTCTAGGGCACAGGGCCAGAGCAGAGGCCAGCAGGACGGTGTACAGCAACCAGGGGAGGGGAGTAGGGACAAAGATGGCCCAGGAGGAGAAGGCAGAGGATGGGGGCTTGATCCAGGTGAGCAGGCCCCGCCCCCACACACCCCTCCCAGAGCCTGAGGTCTCAGAGCCAGTGACTGACAAGACTAATTAGCTTGTAGGACACCTAATTAGAGAGCGAGTCCCCGGGGACCCCTGACCCAATTGCTGCCCCAAGGAGGTGTTGGTGGGCATGAGGGTCCACATGACCCAGCCACAGCCCAAGGTCAAGGTCCTCAGAGCTGACCCCCAGCGAGGCGGGGGTTCCTGAGACTTGGGACAGCCCCCCGGGCTGATGCCTTGCCCTGTGCCCCAGCCCCCAGGCTGCCCTCCAGTCAGGCGTCAATCTAGGACAGGGATGCTGGCCCCGCAGCCTCTCCCTGGAGGGGTACCACGTGAGGTGGCAGGTTAGCCAGGCCCGTGGGGCAGGGACTGGGACTGGGAAGGAGACTTGGGTCTCATTTGCAGCAGCCCCACGAAGCGGCAGAGTGGCAGCAGGGACCATGGTGAGCGCCCAGAAGGAGGGGTGGCTGGGGCTCAGGGTGGGAGCTGCCGGCCAGGAGGGGTGCTGGAGGGCCCAGGAGCCCAGGGAGTGGCTGGACCATGCATTTGTCTCCAGGCGGGCTCCCCAGACCAGGAGGGCTTCTTCAACCTGCTGAGCCACGTACAGGGCGGCCGCATGGAGGAACAGCGCTGCTCACTGCAGGCAGGGCCGGGCCAGGCCCCCGAGAGCCGTGAGAGCGGGTGTGGGGCAAACGGGCAGCGGGTGTGCTGTCTGGGGGGAAGAAGGCCAAGCGACCATCTCAGGGGTCTGTCTCGGGGTGTGCAATGGGGCCACAGCTGCACAGGAGTCTAGGGGCACGTCAGTGTCTGGGGGTCAGGGTGCTGCATGTGCTGTAGGGGGGCTGGTGCTAAGCATGCTGGGGTGTGAGCACGCGTGGGGTGTGTTAATGGGATGAACGGGGACTGTGTCTTCTTGAGTCTGTGTGTCCATCCCCATGGGCTCCACCCCCTGCAGAGGGCAGCCCTGCGCCCGAGATGGACAGCCTAATGGACATGCTGGCCAGCACCCAGGGCCGCCGTATGGATGACCAGCGTGCGATGGTCAGCGCCCTGCCTGGCTTCCAGCCCGTGGGGCCCAAGGTGGGTGAGGTTCTCCCTTGACTAAGAGACAGTCTGGCTTTGCCCTGTAACCTGCCTCCCACTCCTGAGCCAGGAGTGGACAGGGTCCCACCCCACAGTCCCCCTTCTGCCCTCTGGGGTTGGGTGAGTATCTAGTACAGGCAGGGGTACCCAGTAAGAGTGCCCACCCTGTGGCTTTGCCAGTCACAGAACCCTCTGACCTCATACGGGAAGTCCGAGAGGGGCCCCAGGTTCTACAGGGGGCAGCTGATGTCAGAGCCGTGGTTGGAGCTCACAGCTCTGGCCTCAAGTCTAGGGGGTCTGGGGAGGCCAAAGGGACACAGCAGCCATCCTTCCTGGAATGACACCCCAGAGGAGGGGATGGAAGCTCACACATAGATGCACGCATCTATACACACAGGTATGTCCGTCACACACGCTCATGTACAGCTTGGGTTCCGATCAAGACCCCAGTGAGATCCCCATGACCCATCGCCTCACACCCAAGACCACCCTAAATTCTGGGAATGGTGGAAAACATAGAATCAAGTTCAGGAATAGTGGTGACAGAGCCGTGTGCTGGGAGGCAGGACAGGGAGGGTCACACCTGCCCCCCTCCAATGTCTGTGTCTTCTCTGGCCTGCACTGCCTGGGATTCCTCACCCTCGCTGACCGCATCCTCATCCACAGGATGGGGCACAGAAGCGAGCCGGGACTCTCAGCCCCCAACCCCTCCTCACCCCTCAAGACCCGACTGCTCTCAGCTTCCGGCGGAACAGCAGCCCCCAGCCCCAGACACAAGCCCCCTGAGGACCTGAGAAGTCCCGGGCCCCACTCGGCCCCTGAATGCAAAGAATAAAACACTTTCACAGCAACAAGGGACAGAGCACGTGTATTATTTTGTGGGCCACGGGGCCAGGGCTCAAGTACACGAGGACTCAGGGGTTTTGCCGGGCGGCGTTAAGGAGCTTCTCCTCGCGCTGCTTCCGTAACCGCTCTTTGAACTCTTCCAGCTCTTGGCGCTGGGGTGGGGGTGGGACAAGAAGGAAGGACAGGGGCACACACCTCAGGGCCTGGACCCGAAACCCTACTCCCCAGGCCAGGCCTTCAGAAGTCAGTGTTTATGCTGGAAGTCTCATTCAATTGTAACTAGGTGCCAAAAGTGACCAGAGTCATTCTTCAGAGAAGGGCAATAAGGAAACCCTAGGGCCCTGCAGGAGCTGATAGCATAGTGCCTAAGGCACTTAACTGCTCACCAGAAGGCTGGCGGTTCCAACCCACCAGGTACTCCTCGGAAGGAAGGTTGGGCATTCTACTTCCGTAGTGATACCGCCTCGGAAACCCACAGAGGGGTCTGACTTGACGGCACATAACAACAACAACAGGCCCTTCTGCAAGAGGGCGGTGGTTAAGTGCTCAGTTGCTAACCAAAAGGTTGGCACTTCAAACCTACCAGCCACTCCGTGGGTGAAAGAATATGCCAGTCGGCTAATGTAGACTTCACTTCAAGCCTTGGAAACCCTATGCAGCAGTTCCACTCTGTCCTCTAGGGGCGCTGAGTCGGAATCGACTCCACAACAGTGGGTTTGGTTTGGGCTTTTTTCCCCTAAGGACTGACAGCCTTGGAAACTCTATAGAGCCCTAGAGGGTCGTTAAGAGTTGGAATCAACTCAATGGCAGTAGGTTTGGGTTTTTTTATATGTCCCTCTGTTCTTTTTCCCTAGCCATATCTAAGGGTAGTCTTTTCATTTGAGCCCTGACCCCTCTGTCACTTACCTGGCCTTCTTTCTCAGGTGGCCATAGCTCCCTCTGTGGAGACAAAGTCACAGCTGAGGGCACAAGCCAGGAACCTCCAGGACCCCACACATCAAGGGCAGGGCCAGCTTATGGAGACAGACGATGGTCCCCAGTAGGTGGGTGCCCCATAACCTCCCCTATCCCCTAGAGTGAACCAGCGAACCCTCAACCTGTGCCCACCTTGCGTTGTATGACATAATCCTCAAACCACTCAGCCTGGTTGGCAATCCAGAACATGGCCACAGGGAAGGTGAGATAGAGTGTCATCTGGAAGGACAGGGAGTGGGTGAGAGGAGCTAGAGGTTTTTCTTACACACACACACACACACACACAAAGCAGAGGTCCTGCACAGCCTGGAGACCTCATCCTCCCAAAGAGCCTAGAGCCCAGGACCACCTACTTCACGGGATCTTTCCAAGAGCCTAGCGCCTGTCAGAGGACAGAGCCTCAAGGTTCTTGGGTGGTGCAAACAGTTTGTTCTTGGCTACTAACCAAAAAGTTGGCAGTTTGAACCCACCCAATGGCATCACAAGAAACAGGCTTGGCGATCTGCTACCATAGAGACTGCAGCCAAGAAAACCCTATAAAGCAATTCTACTCTGCAACACATAGAGTCTACCCAAAGCCACAAATACCGAACAAAACAAACACATTGCCATCGAGTCAATCCTGACTCATTGTGACCCTAAAGGCCAAAGTAGAACTTCCCATAGGGTTTCTAAGGCTATACTTGTTTTTGGAAGCCGACTGCCACATCTGTCTCTTACCAAGCATCTGGCGGCTTTGAACCCCTGACCTTCTGGTCAGCAGCCCAATGCCTTAGCCAGTGCCACACCAGAGTTACTCCAAAGTCACAAAGCAGTAACAAAAACAGTATCACAAAGAGTACAGAGCATCACTTCGCAAAGCCTAGCCCCCATAACCCAGGACACCTCATTCCTGGGAGTCCCCTCCAGAATCTGGAGTCTCCCTCTCAAAGACAGACAGAGATAGTCAGACAAACCCACAGCCCCCACTCCCAGCAAAAGAGTTCCTCCTACAATTAAAGTCACCTCCTCAGATCTCAGAAACTTTTCCCCATCAGAGCCTGGGGCATCCCCCAAACCCAGGTCTTATTCTTCAGATTCCACTCCCCTAAGTCTAAGCGTCTCCCTGTCAGAGACTCCTGCCCGCTCGTATGAGACGAGAGTTCTCTGGGATCTGAGCCTGCCTTCTTAAGAGTCCCCTCTTCAGACAAGCCCACTCTGAGCCCTCCCAACTCAGAGCCCTCTCCATGTTTTCCAAGCGCTAAAGTCCCTCTCAAATCACAAGAGCTTTTTCCCCGCATCGCCCTCTCTTTGGAGCCCCTCTTTTCAGAGTCTCCTCAGACCCACAAAGACTAGCCTCCCACACACTCCCCGGCTAACGGACCCGAAACACCTCCAGCTTCACCCCCATCTTGGTTTTCCCGTCTACAAAGTCGCTTCCGCCCAAAACAGACCCTCCAGCTCATTGGTGTTTCGCGGGCTCCACTACTGAAACTAATTGGTCAGTATGCCTTGGTATTACGTAATCTCAGGGCGCCTTCTCACTGCTTCCGGTAGTTGGAGTCGCCAAAGAGAAAGTCAACAAGGCGGGCTGCGCGATCGGAAAAGTTCAGCCAATATAAGAGGGTTTCTGGCTCAGGGGCGGGATTTTGGCCGTATGCGTCATCACCATGCGACTCTAACCTATAGCTGGAGCTATTAGAAAATGGTGGTGATGGCGCGCCTCTCGCGGCCGGAGCGGCCGGACCTTGTCTTCGTGAGTCCGCGGCGTGGCCGGGAGTGGCCTGAGTGAGGATTTCGGAGTCTAGATGCCGCTAGGGATCAGGACCTGGCCGCCGGAGGATCTAGGCTAGAGCTACGTAGGCCCAAGAGCTGGAGTACCCTAGCGGGCCAAAGGCCGAATCGTGATACTGGCATGGGCTGGCCAGGAGCAAAGATGTGGTGTCGGGCGAGGGCCCTAGTGGCCTGAGTAAGGAGCTGTTGTCGAGGTTACAGGCTTGAAGTTCTGGACCTGGGGCAGAAATGGGGGCACGGGGTAGAGGCGGGAGGACAGCGGGGCAGCTACTCGGATGACTGAATTTTGACAAAGATCTGGAGGCTAGCGATCTGGTTTCTGTAGATGAGGCTTGGTGTTCTGCGTAGGAGCCTAGGTCTGGTCCCAAGCGTTTGTGTTTGAGGTAAAGGCTGGGAGAACCCAGGAAGTAAAGGCTTGGCGATGTGCATCTAGGATGTGCATCTGGGATGGAGCTGGGGCAGGCCATGGCCAGTGGGATTTTGAAGAGCCAGAAACTTAATGTCTTGACTAGAGGCCTGACATTTTTTTCTTGATGCCAGGATTAGAGGCCTGGCATCTTCGCCAGATTCTTTATGTTAGAGGGTTAGAGATTTGGTGCCTGGCTCATATCTCTCCTGGGGTAAAGGCATGGTATCCAAGTTCTGGGGTAGAATTGAGCTAGACCTTGGCAGGTGGGATCCTGTACACCCAATGGTTTGCCGTCTAGACCTGAGAGCCCTGATGGCTGAGATCCATCCAGTCATCTGGGCCTGGGGTGTGTTTGGGTCAGGTGGTGGCAGTGGGATTGTTAAAGGCCAAAAGCCAGGCATCTGCAAGAAGATGTGTTGTCCAGGGAAGAGGCCTGACATCTGGAGTAGGGCCCTGGAGTCTGAGTCTTGTGATCTAGGTCAGACAGTGGGTAACAGGATTCAAAGGATCATGTGACAGTCTCGTGTCTGGCCCGGAGCCCTGATAACTAAGGAGTCTGATGACCTGGGTGTGGACAGTAAAGGTCTGGAGCAGAGTCCTGGTGTCTGGGCATCTGGGGACCTGGCTGTGATGGTGGGCAGTGGGATCTGGGGAGAGGTCTGGAGTTTGGATCTGAGCCTGGGGGAGTGGTTCTGCATTCAGACTCTGAAAAGTTCCCCCTTTTCCCTGACACTGGCAGGAGGAAGAGGACCTCCCCTATGAGGAGGAGATCATGCGGAACCCATTCTCTGTCAAATGCTGGCTCCGCTACATTGAGTTCAAACAGGGTGCCCCGAAGCCCAGGCTCAATCAGCTGTATGAGCGGGCACTCAAGTTGCTGCCCTGCAGGTGGGAACTGCTCCAGCTGCCCTGCCCCATCCCGTCCCCTCATAGCACAGCTGGCAAGTAGGTCCCTGGTGATGGCTGTGTGCCCTGCACTGGGTACATGTCCCCCGACATGTCACCATTGCCTTCTCTGATTTCCCAGTCCATTCCCCCCTCATTGCAGGACGTGTCCTCCCCAGGCCTCCTCTGCCCTGGGGCAGGGTGAAGGGTCCTAGGAGTCCGTAAAGCTGACCAATCAGCATCTGTCCCTTCCATCCCCCCAGCTATAAGCTCTGGTACCGCTACCTGAAAGCCCGCCGGGCACAGGTGAAGCATCGCTGTGTGACTGACCCCGCCTACGAAGATGTCAACAACTGCCATGAGAGGGCTTTTGTGTTCATGCACAAGGTGAGAGGCTGGGCCTCTACACACAGCACAGGGTGGGACCAGGGTGCCCAGGTCATCAGGGGATGAGCTGGGAGGTGGGGCTCAGAGTCCAGGGAGACGGATGAAGCAGGGGGGCTAGGCTCAGCATGGCAGGGACAGGGGACTGGAGTTCTGTTGCTATGTGCACAAGATGTTCAACTTGACCTGCCTCTGGAGGGATAGGGTCTTGCTGCATCTATATGGAGGCCCCAGGCTTGGACTGGCCATGGGACGTCTAGTGTCTCTGGCTAGACCATGGGGCCTGCAGCTCAGACCTTCCTCTCTCCCCACGCCTCCAGATGCCACGGCTGTGGCTGGATTATTGCCAGTTCCTAATGGACCAGGGACGTGTCACACATACCCGTCGCACGTTTGACCGTGCCCTCCGGGCACTGCCCATCACACAGCACTCACGGATCTGGCCCCTGTACCTACGCTTTCTGCGCTCACACCCACTGCCCGAGACGGCCGTGCGTGGCTACCGCCGCTTCCTCAAGGTGAGCCCAGCAGAGGTGAGGTGGGGCCAGGCTCAGGGAGATGCTTGGTTCTCTGGGTTGGTTCCCAAAAATAGGCTCCTTGGGATACCAGGCCCACATGGGATGCTAGCAACAGACAGGATGTGGGAAAAGGATGCCTTGAGATAGGCGGGGTTTTATCTGTTAGTTCATTTGTTGGTTTTCCGAAGAGTTGGAGCACCTAAACCAAACACCAAATGCACTGCTGTTGAGTCAATTCCAAGTCATAGCAACACTGTAGGGTGGAGTAGAAGTGCCCCACGGAGGGTCTAAGGCTGTAATCTTTACAGAAGCAGACTTTCTCTTGCAGAGTGGCTGGTGGGCTTGAACCACTGACCTTTTGGTTAGCAGCTGAACACTTACCCATAGCACCACCAGGGCTCCTTGCTAGCACCTACTCCACATCAGAAAGGTCCCCAGATGGCACAAACTGTGTGCAGTTCACACCCACCTAGCAGCATTGCTGGTCCCACCCCAGTTCTGGTTATCTGCTTCTGGAAGGTTGCAACCTTGAAAACTCTGTGGAGCAGTTCTGCTCTGCTCACATGATGTTGGCTGTGTCGGGTCGCCTCGACAGCAGCGGGTTACTCCACTTTAGGCGTTGAGATGGCGGCTGGGGACACAGTGAATGGGACGGTTCCTGCCCACATGAAGCTTTCAGTCCAGCTGTGACTGTGTAAACCAGAGTGAACGCAGCAGTGGCAAGTGAGCAGAGCTATGGGAGTGTGGCACAGGCAGGGCTGAGAGCCAGCTGGTAGGGAGGAGTGCCCTTTCCTCATGTGTGTAGCGTCTGTTCTAAGTCACAAAACCTTAATGCTCCACTCTCCAAGCTCTCACCCGATGTTGTCTGGGTGAGTGTGGGGCTTCGATGAAAATGAGGCCCAGGCTGTGCAGGCTGGAGTATGGAGTCTAAGCCAGACCAGCTAGGACTGGGATTGGATCAGGGGCCCAGGCTGGACCATTGGGATCAAGGCTGAGCAGATAGGACTGAGACTAGACCACTGTCATCAAGGCTGGACCAGGGGGCTCAGGCCAAACAGAGAGAGGGCTGAGGATAGACAACTGGAATCAAGGCTGGACCAAGGGGTTCAGGCTAAACAGAGAGGGCCGAGGTGAGACCGCTGGGATCATAGCTAGACCAAGGGATCAGGCTGGGCTGGCAAGGCCAGCTCTTGGCTGGGGCATTGCCGGGTGGGTGGTGGGAGGTCCTGGAGCCGCTCTGTGGGGAGGGGGCCTGGTGCTGTGGCTGTGGGCCCCACTGATGACAGTGGTGGGCGGGCGACCCCCAGCTGAGCCCTGAGAGCGCAGAGGAGTACATCGAGTACCTCAAGTCGAGCGACCGGCTGGATGAGGCAGCGCAGCGCCTGGCCACCGTGGTCAACGACGAGCGCTTCGTGTCCAAGGCCGGCAAGTCCAACTACCAGGTGGGGCCGGGGGCGTGGGGCTGGCCAGGGCAGGAGGGGCTGCAGCCCGCAGGCACAAGGCTGAGACTCCTGCCCTGTGCCCGCAGCTGTGGCATGAGCTGTGTGACCTCATCTCTCAGAACCCAGACAAAGTGCAGTCCCTCAATGTGGACGCTATCATCCGCGGGGGCCTCACCCGCTTCACGGACCAGCTGGGCAAGCTCTGGTGCTCACTGGCTGATTACTACATCCGCAGCGGCCACTTTGAGAAGGTGCGTGGGTACAAACACCTCTTGCAGGACTGGTCTTCCCCAAGCAGGGCACTCGGGGCAGCCACGCAGAGATGTGTGTGGATATGCTATGAGCAGAAAGCAGGTGCGGACGCATCGTCTGTATCCACACGTGGTGCACAGGGCCCACCTGCTTCCTGGGAGGGGAGGAGAGCTGGATCATCTGCCAGGGAGAGCCCCCACTTGAGAGGCAGCCAGACCAGGGTCCAAGGTCTATATCTGCTGCTCCCAGGCTGTTGACCTTGGACAGGCTTCTGCCTGTCTGAGCCTGGTGTCTCCACATGGGGAGATAGTGCTGTGCACTTAGAGATCAGTGAAATGACGCCCCCAGCACCAGGCAGGTACCTGGTAAATAGGAGGACCCCTCACTCAGTGACTGAGGTTTCTGTTACTGTCATTGTCACCTTGCTCATCACTAGGCCATGCACTTGCCAGCTCGGGGCAGGGGCTGGACTCGGAGCAGTCTCTGAAAGGGCTCCCAGAAGTCAGTGTAGAGGGGAGTAGGGCAGGAGTTGGGGCCAGCAGAGCACTGAGGGTAGGTGAAGTCAGTGGGAGCCAGCTGGGAGGGCCTCACAAGCCAGCAAACCAAAACCGAACCAAACTCACTGCCGTCAAATCAATTTTGACTCATAGTGACCCCTCCTTGGGTTTCCGAGGCAGTATCACTATGGAAGTAGGTTGCCCAACCTTCTTTGTGAGGAGTGGCTGGT